CGTGAAAAGGCTTTACCACATTCATTACATTCATAGGGTTTCTCTCCCGAATGTGTTCTTTTATGTATTTGGAGATTACTGTGCCGTGAAAAGGCTTTGCCACATTCATTACTTTCATAGGGTTTCTCTCCAGTATGAGTTCTTTTATGCTTTTGGAGATTACTGTGCATTGAAAAGGCTTTACCACATTCATTACATTCATAGGGTTTCTCTCCAGAATGTGTTCTTTTATGTTTTCGGAGATAACTGTGTTCTGAAAAGGCTTTACCACACTGATTACATTCATAGGGTTTCTCTCCAGAATGTGTTCTTTTATGATTTTGCAGAACACTGTGTTCTGAAAAGGCTTTACCACATTCATTACATTCATAGGGTTTCTCTCCTGAATGTGTTCTTTTATGTCTCTGGAGATGAGTCTGTCGTGAAAAGGCTTTACCACATTGATTACATTGATAGGGTTTCTCTCCAGAATGTGTCCATTTATGATATTGGAGATGACTTTGTTGTGAATAGGCTTTACCACATTGATTACATTCATAGGGTTTCTCTGCAGAATGTGTCCTTTTATGTATTTGGAGAGTACTGTTCCATGAAAAGGCTTTACCACATTCATTACATTCATAGGGTTTCTCTCCAGAATGTGTTCTTTTATGTATTTGGAGAATACTGTGCTGTGAAAAGGCTTTGCCACAATCAGTACATTCATAGGGTTTCTCTCCAGAATGTGTTCTTTTATGTTTTTGGAGATGACTCTGCTGTGAAAAGGCTTTACCACATTGATTACATTCACAGGGTTTCTCTCCAGAATGTGTCCTTTTATGGTTTTGGAGATGACTTTGTTGTGAAAAGGCTTTACCACATTCATTACATTCATAGGCTTTCTCTCCAGAATGTGACTTTTTTTGCTGTTGGAGATTACTCTTTTTTGAAAAGGCATTATCACATTTATCACATTCATAGGGGTTTCCTTCATTATGAATTCTTTTATGGTTTTGGAGATTACTGTGGTAAGAAAAGGCATTACCACATTGATACGGTTTCTCTGCAGAATGAACACTTTCAGGCCTTTGAAGACCACTGTGAACTGTAGAGGCTTTATCACATTGAATATATTCATAGGGTTTCTCTCTGGCAAGACTTCCTTTATGCCTGTGAAGACAATTGACATGTATTAACACTACCACATTGATTACAGTGATGACTCTGTTTATCTATATGGTTTAATTTTACAATTTTGTCTAGTGTTCTGTAAAAAGAGATCAAATTGTAAAGTTGTAACACTTGTTTCGATTCATAAGTTTCTCCTTTATTATGGTTCCTTTTGTATATTGGAAGATGGCTGTGGTGGTTAAAGTGTTTAGTACATGGTTCATCTTTCTGACACACTTTTCTCATGTGAGTTTTTCCACATTTCTAAAGTGAATTGGAAGAACTCAGAGGTTTGCCACAGTGATTTTACTCATCATTGTGCTATATTGTCATGTTACATTTGCAAAATGAACCAGGACAAACAGAAGAATGTCCATGTTCCTTGTACTCAAAGGGCTTTTCTGCAGTGTGAATGTATTTACATATTCTCAATGAAGTTGGATATACAATTATTTGTAAACTCACATCCCCTTCTCAGTCTACTCAAAGTCAGGACAACTGTATATCTTCTAATTGTTGTGAGAGAGAAAGGCACTTTCCATGTTCCAGGTGCTCACGTGCCTTTGATCTAATGTGACATGTATCTTTATGGCAAGAATAAAAAATGAAAGGTTTCCACATTCCATTCACACAGTTTAATTGTTTGTTCATCACAGAGGTGTAATATCAGGATAAAGGTTTCTACACCATAATCTACTTGAATCTCATAAATTATCCGTCTCACTATACTTTGGTAAATCAATAAATGTATATGAGTAATGTGGGATTTATTATGGAATGTTTGCCTAGTAAAAGGTTTTAGACATATACTTATCATCTAATCTATGTATATGTCCTTCACAATATCTGAGAGGTATCAACCTAAATCAATTGGCAGTTCTAAAGAGCAGTTCCCATGGGGATATAATTAAAATGTAATAGCTGTTAAGTCATTGTTTCCTTGTGCTTTTTTAGCGACTACCTGACATTGAGCTACATGGTGTTGTGAGAATTTACTAATCATCAATACACTTAAAGCTATGCTTGCATATACTGAGTTTTCTTAAAACTTCAAGGGCACACTCAGATTTCTTTAGTCGCACATTTGTATGAACATGAAACTTACCTTCCATGTACTCTAGAATTCTGAAGATGTTCTTCAATATTATTGTCTTCTCATTTGTAACCTAAAATATATTACCAGAAAATGTATGATATATAATGAAAACTGATGAAAAGTTAAGTTATTCTTCTGAATGAACCTTAGAACTCTGCCTGATTTATTTACCACATTGTTCCTCTTTCACAATCAAAATGAAAGAAGAGCTCAATAACCAAGAAACAACCTTCATCATATTTTAAAAAATGGATCAAAATTCATAGTCTTACCTATAGCAGTGAGGTTCCTGTAGGTCTCCAGCATCACATCTGTGTAGAGAGTCTTCTGGGAAGGATCCAGCAAAGCCCATTCTTCTGGAGTGAAGTTAATGTGGACATCATCATATGTCAGTGCATCCTAAAATATCCATACATGTGTTTAATAGAAAGCATAATTCTGACAATATATTAAATATACACTTCTTTAACAATACATTCGTATAACTCTGGTGATTTCCACACTTACTCCATGACACAGAAATTCTAATGTAGTCACCAAGTCATTGTAGAAGGAAACCGAAAAGGAGGCCCACCCCTGTCATTTCATCCTTGCAGGAGAAAGGCCTATTAACAGCCATACAGTCAGAGACAAATAGATCAATACTATACACATCAGAGAAATGATCTGAATGATGACTAACTACAAAACGAGATAGGCAAGAAGAGTGTGTTGGTGCATGCCTTTAATTGTACCACCCAGGAGAGAGAGATATGGGAATCTCATTGGAGACCAGCCTAGTCTATGTAATGAGTTTCAGGGCTCCTTGAAGTAAAGATTAAGAACCTGCCACCACCCTCCCCTCTCCCAAAAAACAAACTCAAAGAAAAAAACACACAATCATATTACTAGATGCTGAGAAAGCATTTGACAAAATTCAATATGCCTTCATGGTAAAAGTCTTGGAAAGTTCAGGAATTCAAGGTCCATACCTAAACATAGTAAAAGATCTTAGAAGATGGAAAGATCTCCCATGCTCATGAATTGCAAGGATTAATATAGTAAAAAATGTTAACAACAACAACAACAACAACAACAACAACAACAAAAAAGCCAGGCAGTGGTGGTGCAGGCCTTTAATCCCAGCACTTGGGAGATAGAGACAGGCGTATTTCTGAGTTCGAGGCCAGCCTGGTCTACAGAGTGAGTTCGAGGACAGCCAGAACTACACAGAGAAACCTTGTCTTGAAAAACCAAAAAAAAAAAAAAAAAAAAGAAAGAAAGAAAGAAAGAAAAAGAAAAAGGCTACCTTGCTGAAAGCAATCTACAGATTTAATGCAATCCCCATCAAAATTCTCACTCAATTTTTCACAGAGATAGAAAGAGCAATCTTAAAATTCATTTGGAATAACAAAAAACTCAGGATAGCAACAACTGCTCTCAGCAATAAAAAAAACTTCTGGGGAATCACCATCCCTGACTTCAAGCTGTACTACAAAGCAATAGTGACAAAAATGGCATGGTACTGGAACAGAGACAGGCAGGAGGATCAATGGAATAGAATAGAAGACCCAGAAATGAACCCCCATATCTATGGTCACTTGATCTTTCACAAAGGAGCTAAAACCATCCAGTGGAAATAAAGACAGCATTTTCAACAAATGGTGCTGGTCCAACTGGAGGTCAACATGTAGAAGCATACAAATTGATCCATACTTATTTCCTTGTACAAAGCTGAATTCCAAGGGGATCAAGGACCTCCACATAAAGCCAGCTACACTGAAACTAGTAGAAGAGAAATTGGGGAAAAGCCTAAAACACATGGGCACAGGAGAAAACTTCCTGAACAGATGAGCAATGGCTTATGCCCTAAGATCAAGAATTGATCATAATATCAAGAACTGACAAATGGGACATCATAAAATTTCAAAGCATCTCTAAAGTAAAGGACACAGTCAATAGGACAAAGCGGCAACCAACAGATTGGGAAAAGATCTCCCCTAACCCTACATCTGATAGAGAGCTAATATTCAAGGCATATAAAGAACTGAAGAAATTAGACTCTAGACAATCAAATAACCCTATAAAAAAAATGGGGCACAGAGCTGAACAAAGGATTCTCAACTGAGGAAG